AGTCAAACTTGTCAGCCTTCAGGTCAGTGCTGCAGGACAGTGAGGAGTTAGGTGGCGACAGGGCTGCTAATGGATCCTCAGTCAATATGTCAGGCACTGCTGAGATTGGAGTACAGATGCACATGTCAGGCCCATCAGGTGATGATTGGTGTTGGAAGAAGGCACGTTTGAATGTTTTGGTGGGTTCCATCCGGCATAACATTTTGTCAATTACCTCATTGGCAGATTCGGGATGGAGATTCACACAGGGTCCAAAAGGTTTTGATTTGTTTCACGAAAAGCTTGGAATGCATTGTCTTGATGTTGCTTATTTTGCCAATTGTCCTTGGGTTCGTTTGCATCCAGATATTGGTGGTAGTAGTGCATACAGGTCTGATTTGACTGTGACGAATACTCATGACTCGTCTGTCACAGCTGTGTCTGGAGGCGACGACAGTGAACTTGCACGTCACCGGAGACAGGGACATATCCCATTCAATCCGAATTGTTTGGAGTGTGCTAAAGGTCGTTCCGTCCGTCTTTCAGCACAGAAGAAACAAAGGTGACAGGAAAGAGGTTTCAATTCAGGCTGATTTTGCATTTCTCAACACAACAGGTGAGATCGTTGCAGACGAGCTGACTTCGAAGGCTATCTCAATTGATGTCCACACCGACAGTAAGAGAGCAGTTGGAGAGATCATTGGAAACTCCACTGGTCGCTACACGTTCTCCATTCGTCGAGCCGCACCTCAACAGCATCGTTCAGTTGGAGCAGCTGAGAGGACAGTCAGGGAACTGAAAGAAGCCTTTTCTGTTTTGCAAGCTGATTTGAATTGCAAGGGTTGGATGTCACGTTTTCGCATGAGAATTTGGTTGATGTTTTGACGTATTTGGCTTTGTGTAACAATCATTTTTCAACATCAAGAGGTTCAGACAGAAGTCCATTGGAAATGGTTTCAGGTAGCAAGTTATCCAAACCAGTTTGTACTTTGTTTGGTGCTCAGGTTCCTGCAGAGATTCCCGACTCAATTCGTCAGCATTCCCCACTTTCAACCAGGAATGTTGAGTGTACTTTCATTCACATGGGATTGGAACGAGGTCCGGTTGTACAAGGATTCATTCGTGTGGATGGCAAAGCTGAGTTGATGCGTTTTGTACAAAGGAATCTATTTGTCGAAGTCTGCCTGGATTACAGATGGATACATAGCACAGATAGCTATAGATAGCTGGGTGTGAAAATTTCCCACTTGGAGTGAGATGAATCCATGTGGTCTTTTCTGCATTGGGAGAAGTGAATTTGTTTTTCACCTTGATGGTGAGCTCAACCGTGATGGTTAACATGGTTTTTGCATGTCCCATATGATGCAGCTTTTACTGGAGATGGCGAAACCTTACAACGATATGTTTTTCATCTCCTTTGACTACTTTGATTGCACGGAGAACACAGTGAGGCTTTGAATCCGTAGAATGAAATGGAAAATCAATATATTTCCATATATCCTTCACTTTAGTTTTCGTCGACGAAAGAGCACGAAGGAAACGGAAGAAGAGTACGAAGAAGTTCGTAGAATTCATTTTTGTGACTTCGGAAGAAGGAACTTTGATTGACGTTGATCGGAGAAGTTTAATTTGATTTTGTCTTTCGATTCTCGATGATGAAAGAGTGCAACATTCTGAAGGCATTCAGAATTACCGTTGCCAACAAATCTGAGGGAGACATCATGGCACATGTTTTGGTGTTTGAAATGTTTCAACGTTTTTCAAACACTCAAACTTATTTGAACAAACAAACCATGTCTTGATGTAAAGACTTTTTGTGACGACATGTGTTTTTCATTTTTGTGAAGTTGACAGAAAGATGTCAACATGCGACTCCGCATCTGTTTTGTGTCAAGGAAAAGTGACACGTCAACAAGAAACAGAGCGACAAGAGCAGAGACATCTCTTTTGTTGCTTGTCTGTGCGCGGTAAAAGTGGCTGAGCTCTGGGATTGATTGACTTGGTTTGCGTGGACGGTCTTTTGTCTCTTAAGGACGACGTCCTGGACGCTGACCCAGGTAGGTCTAGAGGTTTCGAAGGTAAGGCTACCTCCTACAAGTGGCTGGCTGGCTCGTCCAAGCGGCAAAAAATAGGACCAAGGCAACTGGAGCCAAGTTGGTTTGAAACGAGGGGGAATATGGAAAGCGATCCATTCCAGCTGCTTATCCGAAAGCTGTCAAAGAAATCCAACCGAATGGTTTACTCGATCAACATGCTGGAAACCCAAGTGTACAGATTGAATGTGAGAAACCCGAATCTCAGATCGTACATTCCCCCGATCCGTCAAAAAGAGTGCTGCGCTGCTGAGTGAACGTTCCAAGCACAGTTGAGTTGATGAGTTCCGACTCCAATGTTGTACTGTGGCGTGGTTCATTTTATGAGTTATGATTTTTTGGTCAAGGAGCTAGAGACAAGAAGTGAACTTACACAACGTGGATAGTACTTTCTTGGTTCATGCGACTTGAAATACTTCATGAAAGTATTTGCATGAAATGGCCCAAAAAATCCGAACAAATGAAGCCAGCAGAAATAGGTGATGTGATAGGTTGATTTGTATTGCCAACTCCTGACGTTGAACAACCTGAAATAAAAGCACACCTAAACTTTGTCAACCGAGTGATTGAGAGAAAGATTGAAGCGTCAAGATCGGAGTTCAGCATGCCGGATGATCTTTTGAACGTCGAAACATTTTGGTTTGAAGACCTTCGGCAGAGAAGGCAAGAAGGGCACCTGAGCCCTTTCGACATACATGTCATGTCATGTCACGGTTCACGGAGTTTCAACAGATTGACATGACATACTTTACATAAGATCATCCAACAAACATACAAATCAAATCTCTTTTTATTTTCCCGCCCTCCCTACCCTACAAATGGGGGGGTGGAATTTGGAAACCGATTCATTCCAGCTGCTTATTCGAAAACTGTGAAAGAAATACAACCGAATGGTTTACTTGATCAACATGCTGGAAACCCAAGTGTGCAGATTGAATGTGAGAAACCCGAATCTCAGATCGTACATTCCCCCGATCCGTCAAAAAGAGTGCTGCGCTGCTGAGTGAACGTTCCAAGCACAGTTGAGTTGATGAGTTCCGACTCCAATGTTGTACTGTGGCGTGGTTCATTTTATGAGTTATGATTTTTTGGGTCAAGGAGCTAGAGACAAGAAAACTCTGTTGGTGGCCGTGAGTAGCTGGTGTCCAAAGTGGAGGGACCGCAGGTTTGTGGCCTTTACCAACAATGAGGCCGTAAGAGGAAACTTCCTCAAGACTTGGTCTGACAATGGATCGAACAACAGACCGCTTGCCAAAGTGTTTGAAGTGGCAGAAGCATGCAGCTGCCAGGTTTGGCTGGAGCGTGTACCTAGTCAATCCAATCCCTCAGGTTATCTTTCGAGACGCAAGTCAGAGTGTGGAGAGGATTGACAGGCACACGGGTAGACCTCATGAAAGCATGGATGAGTGGCCATCAACTGGGGTGAAAACGCGGCCAACTCAGCCGACCCAATCCCCAATGGACAAAAATAAGTGAGAAGGCAGCCGCACCGCATGAGTGGTTTGAACCCTTGAGTATGATGACATGAATGTTCACATGAAAATGAAACGTAACATGTGGAAACATTGCGGTGTCAAGATCGAACTAAGAGTGAAATTCTTCGATGGAATTTCATTGGATGTGCAGCCAAATGACGCAAGAAAAAATTGAGTCTTATGTGGGATATGATACCACCTTATTCTTAGCAAGCATTTGAGAGCGACCATTGGGTAAACGTCTGCACACATCAGTATATGTCACTTTGCGATGTTTTTGGTTCCAACTTCAAGTGAAACAAACCAGCATGTGCTGGAAAATTTTCCATGGACATTGGGCTCCATGTCATGACAATCATAGTGGCATGATCAGAACATAGTCCATGGATCAGCTTAACATGTTTCATAACATGTCTTACAATTTTTCGTCCCAACCCTGGAAGCCCTCCCACTACAATGTCCATCCATGACGACTTGACATTTCGTCATTACATCAACGCACGTCTCGACCTTCAAGAGCTCATTGCGCGGACCAAGGATCAAATTCACAATTTTGCCCCAAGTTCATGATGATCTGCCTTCTTTCTTGACGGAAAGCACGTATGCCCTCCATCGGGCTTTGCAATTTCTCGAGGAATACGAGAGAAATCTCAAGTTATCCGAAGGACTTCGTTGCAAGTTTTCAGTGAGACTGGAAGATTCCCATCATGACCTGGACATCACGTATTGTGATCGTGTGTTCACACTGGGTCCGATCGTGCATTTTTTCGTGACCAAATGGTCTTGCATTTCTTCAGTTGGTCCATTTGGGAGGCCTACCCAAAGCTAAAGCGCGACCAACTCAGCCGACCAAATCCCCAACGGACAAAATAAGCGAGAAGGCAGCCGTGCCGCATGAGTCGTTGGAACCCTTGAGCATGATGACATGAATGTTCACATGAAAATGAAACGTAACATGTGGAAACATTGCAGTGTTAAGATCGAACTAAATCTGAAGTTCTTCGATGGAATGTAATGAGGTGTGCAGCCAAATGATGCAAGAAAAAAATGAGTCTCATGTGGGATTTGATACCGCCTTATTCTTAGCACGCATTTGAGAGCGACCATTGGGTAAACGTCTGCGCACATCAATATATGTCACACTCCGATGTGGAAACATTGCAGTGTCAGCATCGAATTAAGTGTGAAGTTCCTCGATGGAAGATTATGAGGTGTGCAACCACATGTTGTAAGAAAAATAAGGCAATTTTTTTTTAAACAAAACATTCCTGACATTGGTAGAACGTTGTTGGATCGTCAATGACAAAATGATGAGTCGGCATGGCCCATGTCGCAACTTTAAACGAGACAACGTACACATATGTCATGCAAATAACGTTTGTTGTCCAACGCAGCCGGGTTCTGAGAAGACGTTCCCCCAAGTCCGCGCATCGCCGACCGCAGTTCGACAGCTATGGTGCGTCAGAACCGTTTTTTGGTGTGCCTGGGCAAAATTTGACAACATAATCCAACCCACAAAATGAAATCCAATGCGGAGTTTTGAACATGACTCAAGAGGGTTTTGTTCTCTTAAAATAATCGTGACACAAATTTATCATCGGTGTTTTGCCAAAACAATCGCATGGCACCTGCAAATTGATTGCAGTTGTTTCCAATTGGACCCACATTTTGAAACCAAATTCAGGAATCACAGGAATCACGGAAATTTGTGAAAAATGTGTGTTGGAATTTAGATGAATTTGGTTTGTTTGATTGAATGATCATCAATGATCTTATTTTTTTGCTAATAGGATCGTATAGTTTGGGTTTTGTTTCTCAAGGTCAGCTGTGCTGTGCTTTGGCGCTTTCTGCCTCACCCGCTTGGCCTCCACCTTCGTGGGTGCCCCACTGACGCATCTCGGTGGCCACAAGTTAAGGAAGTGCCATGACTGTTTGGGTGGCTGGTTTGTTTTTTTTTCCCGTTTGTTTCTGGGGCATCAAACCGATTTTACCATATCTCGCCTTCCATTTTCAAGGATTCGGCATGGATGTATCACTTTTCAAAAATATGCATCCCCATGTTGAGTATCCTAACGCACGGAACGCAACTACGAATAGTTTGAATTGACTCCTTCAAAATTATGATCAAACCATATCCAATCTATGTTCCTTGTCCAAAATGTTGATATCAACCCCAACCCATTGGTTTTTCCCTTTGAATTTTTGAAGTAGTTATGCTTCAGTATCAGTTATCGCCGATCTTCACCGATGGTGAACTATCAGTTGCAACCAAAACATTGGCTGAACATCAAACCAATTTGACTCTTTAGTCATGTTTCCACTTTCAATTTTTGCATGACTTGGCGATGGTCCAACGGTCCAACGATAAATATACGATCTATATCCGTTGTGGTTTGTCTCACCACGAGGGGTTTTCCCAGACAACTGAGGTCCCGACCTCAATCAGTGGTTCTGAACGCCCGTGGTGGCGGCGAATATGATATCAGCACCTTGGATACGGCAACGAATACAACCGGGTGAGCGGATGCGGTTTGAGGTCAATTGATGGTTAAAATCTAAACCAGAGAGAAAAACACCTCAGGTGATGCGGACATTCAGAACTTCTACAACAGCCTGCTTACTGGTGCTGGCGGTGACCCACCAAAGGCCATGGTGTCCTTTTTTTTGTTACTGCGGATGGATTTGATACATCCGGAACAAACGGGTAATTATATCATTCTTGACCCTGGTAAGTGGATAGAAACTGGTTGATCTGCGGATATATCAACATTGTAATTACAAGTCAGTTCCTGATGATGTGGCACCCAAATTTTGGGTTCAGCCCACACCTAAAAGTCCTGTAGCATTCAGCAGTACTTCCTGCCAGGGCACCGTGCTGTCTGAGCTCATCGTGAAGTTCTTCCACGGTGACTTCACTCCTCAGGGCTTCAAGCGCTACTCCGGGCTCTGGAAGGGACCACCTCCAGGCAACATCGGCAAGAAGGCACGGGGTGTTTGCCTCCCAGATCTCGAAATTTTGCCGAACGGCCTTGTTCAAAAATTGTTAGTTAGTGTTAGTTGGAGACCCGGACTTTGTGCACGACAGGACATTGCCGTGGGTGTTGCCAAGTTGAAGGAGCAGATGGCCAACCCAATGCGCCTTGGTGCAAAGGGATCTAAAAAAAACCCACTGAACATGGGGGTGCGCCCTCGGTGCGGGCCATTCCAATAGGGAAAATGATGATCCAAGGTTCGTGACCAAGGGCGGTGTGGGCTACGGCGTGGATGAGACCCAGAAGGTGCGGGTCAGAAATGGCAATGGCACCAATGATCAACCTTCAGTTTTTTTGCGCACTGAATTAAATGATTCATTAGATTTTATTATATAGTGATATGTAGTGCATCTATTGTCATCTATTCCCAAGTTTTTCACATTTACTTCGTGCAATTTATAGGTGGAGGATGATGGCAAGGGCTGGGTGTGGCTTGCGGCCGAGATGAGCCCTGGAGGTTCGTTTGAGCTGGCGGATCAGGGACTGACACCGGAAGAATAAATTCCACCTCGAACCAATGAAGCAAAGCGAATTAAATAAAGAAACATCAGTTTTTTAATAAAAAAAGCCGAAGGGATTCAGAACCAGTTGAGCCTGGCAATAGCTTGCCAAAAGAGTGGCAACATGGTTTAGGTAAGATATTCGAGTCGCTTCGCGACGAGTACCGCCCGCACCCCAGTTAGATCTGCAGATCAGGGACATGTCGGAGATGCGGGGCGAAGAACACGGGCCTACTTGGCCCAACCAAAGCCGACTGGGGTCAAACTTGACTGTCCTTGGTTGGGCCGAACACGAGCCGACCTGGGGACAGCCTGGGACTCGCGGGCCCAACATGGCACAACTTGGGCATGGCTTGGTGCAAGTTGGGTTTAAGCCCAATGTCGGAAGGGCCTAGCACGAACCCCATCGAAACCCAAAAAGTAAAAACGCACGTTCTCCATTCTCAGCATGTCGCACTGAGTTTGCAAAAAGTGGCCCGGGTTGTGAAGCACTCCCATTGGCCATTTTGGGCTGAAGTGGGGCCCAAGTCGGCCCAGATGGACCCCAAGTTGAAGCCATGCTAGGCTATGCACATGATTGCACATGTAGGTCCAACATGGCGCAGCTTGGAGGCGCTTGGTGGGAGCTTCGCGCCAAGTTGTGCCCAACGTTTGCTCAATGCGCAGCTTCGATGCCAGAAAGATATGTAAAACACAAGTGAAAACGCGATTTTTGAGGATTTCGTATTGGGCCGGGCCGGTAATATCCCCCATTTTGGCGCCATGTGGGTTTCAACTTGGGCCGGAGTTGCTCCCAAAAAGGTAAGTTTGAGCCAAGTTGGGCAAGTTGAAGCCTTGTTGGCCAAAGTTGGCCCAAAGTTGGCCCTAAGTTGAGTCCATGTTGCGGACATGTGGGATCGACATGGTGAATTTGGGCGATGTTGTGCCGATATGCAAAATGTGCAATTTCCAGAGGCCAGTGCACTTTCGGCGCCCTGCCCGGTTCGACAATGCTTCCCCCCAGCTGAAGCTGTACCAGTGAACACAGGATTGTTCGAATCAAATTATCACGCCTCTGCACCTTCGGTGCAGGCAGATTTCGTCCAGCAACTTCATGTGACCAGTTTTTTTCCAATTGCCTGAGCGTCCCCGAAAAGAACACGGGCACGGAAAGCTCATCCCGCACATCTTTGTTCCATTTTTATCCCATATTGTTTTGTTTTGGCTCCACTAGGCCTGGCCGTGGAGCTCTTCAAGTCCGTGCCCTACGGCAAGCGTGCCATCCTTGTGGCAAAGCAGAGCAACGTGGACGAGCTCTTCCAGAAGGTGCTGTTGTGACTTCAGGTATCCAGAAATATATAGGTGATCTCTCCCAAAAATTGCATTTTGAATTCCATCCCATTAAATTTAAACACCCCCTAGATGGTCCCAAAGAGATCCAAATAGGTGTCTAATGTTAGGGGGAAGGGATTAACAGGGGCAATGAGTGGCAATGACGATAAGCCACGGTCTTTTTTGGGGTAGCATAGGGTTACCTATTTTCAGACAAACCCACACACCATGCACCCCAGCACCTAGCATGATTTTGCCAACTGGCAAATCTCAATGATCTTTGAAGACCTTTAGACCTTTTTCTGGAAATTACCCAGCTAACTTTCTCTGAATATTTTCTCGGGTTTTATACAAGCAGTTGGAAAATTTCCGGACATTTCCATATAAGATAATATCATGCCAAGAAGATGACTGCAAGTAATTGGTAATGTATATACGTATTTTTTGAATGTTAGAGTAGCGGTAACACCCAAAAAGATAGAAAAGTAAAACCCTACGTGGGCAAAAACATATGCCAGCATAGACCCCAGATAGCAAAAAAAAATTGGGCAGCAACCAAGCACTCTTCCTTTTTGGCACTGCGGAAACCTAATCTCCATCAACGTCCCAACACCCCACACTGCCATAGATACCTCGCAGCCCCGTGCAACGGCACCACACCCCCTACAGCAGCGACGCCTTGGAACGGTGCCAGCTCCAAACAGACCACTGTAACAGCAGCGCCCTGAAGCAGGATCTTGCGGCACCCTGCAGCAAATATTCAGCTCATCGTGTACTTGAAGTAAGAACCCCCAATAGCTTCGCTATCTCGGAAAAAAATAGTCATGCATTATATAATTGTTTTTTTTTTCCAAGTTTTCTTCGCATGTGCTGGCTCCTTTCGATTTGTTTTTGCAGGTGAACTGGGACACGGCCTTGGCCAACATTGAGGTGACCTTCGGTGGTCCTCAGGCGCCAAGACGGCCCAGGGGGATGAAACCATCAAAAGTGGTGGCTTTTGACTCACCAATCTTTGGAAATTGGATGAGATTGGTTATTTAGCTGTGAAAAGCAATTTGCAAAGGGTGATTTTTCACCATCAAACATTCTGATTCAACCATGGCAAAATCATTGGTTCATCGGGGGAGATGCAGAACATCCAGCTAAACAATCGCTAGTTTGGGGTGAAAAACAAAACGACACGTGGCTCTGTCTGTTCTTGGAGTTCCCTCTGCATATATCATTGCGGCCGCGATCAGTGAGTGCACCAGGTGTCTGTCTGTCTGTCTGTCTATCTACCTGTTTGTCTGTCTGTCTGTCTGTCTGTCTGTCTGTCATTCTATCTACCTGTCTATCTATCTAGCTATCTATCTATCTGTCTGTCTGCCTGTCTATCTGTCTATCTATCTATCGATCTATCTATCTATCTATCCATCTAGCTACCTATCTATCTTTCTATCTGTCTGTCTGTCTGTCTGTCTGTCATTCTATTTGTCTATCTGTCTGTCTATCTATCTGTCTAGCTATCTATCTGTCTGTCTGTCTGTCTGTCATCCGTCTATCTATCTATCTATCTATCTATCTAGCTAGCTAGCTAGCTAGCTAGCTCGCTCTCTGTCTGTCTGTCTGTCTGTCTGTGTCTGTCTGTCTGTGTCTGTCTGTCTGTCTGTCTCTGTCTGTCTGTCTGTCTGTCATTCTATCTACCTGTCTATCTATCTAGCTATCTATCTATCTGTCTGTCTGCCTGTCTATCTGTCTATCTATCTATCTATCTATCTATCTATCCATCTAGCTACCTATCTATCTTTCTATCTGTCTGTCTGTCTGTCATTCTATTTGTCTATCTGTCTGTCTATCTATCTGTCTAGCTATCTATCTGTCTGTCTGTCTGTCTGTCTGTCTATCTATCTATCTAGCTAGCTAGCTAGCTAGCTCGCTCTCTGTCTGTCTGTCTGTCTGTCTGTGTCTGTCTGTCTGTGTCTGTCTGTCTGTCTGTCTGTCTGTGTCTGTCTGTCTGTCTGTCTGTCTGTCTGCCATTCTATCTGTCTGTCTATATATCTAGCTAGCTAGCTATCTATCTATCTGTCTGTGTGTCTTTCTGTCTGTCTATCTCTCTATCTATCTATCTATCTAGCTATCCATCCATCTATCTATCTACCTATCTATCTATCTATCTACCTATCTATCTATCTATCCATCCATCCATCCATCTATCGTTGTTCCTAGGTGTTTGTCTTTCTATCTGTCTCTCTATCTAATTTCTTTTCTTGTGTTCTTCACTCGTTTTTTTTCTACCTATTTGTATGTCTATGCTGGGCAGTTGTCCACTTTGAACTAGTTTTGAACAAGTGACCTGAGGAACTGTTTTTCATCCCAGGTCACTTTTTCCAAAATGAGAATACACATGTCTTAACAAAAGATGAACAGTCTGAAACCAAGTGGAAAATTGCCAATCTATTTATCTTTCTGGCAGTCTATTTTTCTTACTACCTACCGATACATTTCTATTCCGTGTTCTTTTTATCGGTCCACGTACCCACATAAGTCATCGTTCTTATTCTCCGCCCATAAGTCGATCTATCTCTATTTCCTTGGTTTTTTTTTCCATCTGTTTGCCCCCCGATCTATTTATCTATCTACCGATCTGTCAACCTAGACATATCTTTCTTATATGTATATATATATATACCTGGAGGGTAGGAGAGACGTATAATTTTCAATCTTTGGTGATTTTTAGTCCTGAGCCCAAAAACTGCCTTTTGCCTTTAAGCCTCGTTTCAACAAGGTTTCTCCCAAATCATCCTATAACCCTTCCAATCCCCAAGCATCCCTGGCTCATGCCTTTGGCGATCGCAGCGGCACCGCTGATGGTGAGGTGCCAAGCTTAGAGCTGGGTGGAATTCCCCCAAGCAACAAATGCAGCGATTAAATACCGCTGTAAAACTCTAGTTTCGGTTGTCATGGCGCTGACCCTTCTACTAAGTAAAGAAGTTCGGCCAATAAAATCCTCAGCTTGACTACAGGAAAATGCCAAACAGTTAATGGGTTTGTTCCCATTGATGATGTTGGATTTCATATCCAGCATCAGATGGTGAAAGTAATGAATTTTAGGTTTGAACACCCAAAGTGGGCGCAGCAGTGCATGAGCTGCAGTAGCTAATTTGGAATAGGCTTTCAAAAAGGTGAGGCCGGCATCCACGATCTTGTTCGCCATGTCTAGTTCCTACAGCAGGAGGACGCATCCCCAAAGAAAGAGATAGAAAGAGCCCCATGGTTACTTTATGAAACCTGTAACTGTGAATTTGGAAAGGGCGCGGCTGTCACTTGCAACTCCGAAAATTTGTCTCTTGCGACTCCGCGTCGCTTACATCTCATATGTCACTTGTGGCTCGAAAAATCAATCACTTGCGACTCGGGCCCTTTTTCGATCCAGACAAGAAAAACGAGCGGGCTGGGATGTTAACGCTCCATGGCACTTGCACACCAAGAATAGCACACAAACACTAGCACACATACCTGTGCATGGGATGTTAACGTTCCCTGGCACTTGCAAAGCAAGAATGGCACACAAACACTAGCAACCAGGGGTGGGGTGGGGTGGGATGTTAACGTTCCCTGGCACTTGCAAAGCAAGAATGGCACACAAACACTAATTAGCACAAATACAAGTTGACCCACGAGTGGGGTGGGGCGGGGTGGGCGCATGGGATGTTAACGTTCCCTGGAAACCAAGAATGGCACACAAACACTAGCACATGTTGAACCAGGGGTGGGGTGGGGTGGGATGGGATGTTAACGTTCCCCGGCACTTAACCAAGAATGGCGCACAAACACCAGCGTACATACGCATTGAACCAGGGGTGGGATGGGGTGGGATGTTAATGTTTCCTGGCGCTTGCCAACCACGAATGGCACACAAACACTAGCGCACATACACGTTGAACCAGGGGTGGGGTGGGGTGATGTCAGCGTTCCATGTAGTTATTTCCCCGCAACCCCAGGTGATCATCAAATCGAATATTTCAAAAATAAATAATACAGTTACACAAACATCAATGCAATGGTTTCAAGTTGCTCTTTGTTTCACAGAACTTGAAACGGCAAAAGAAGATCGATGTCGCAATGCGCAAAGGTCCCTATTTGGAGTTACAAGCGACAACCATGTCGAGTTGTAAGTGATAAACATTTGGAGGTGTAAGCGACTGTCCGCCCATGGAAAAAGCCAAACCCAAATTTTGAAATATGATTGGAAACCAAGAATCGATCCATAAATCTGCTTCGTAGAGTGTTTTCATGCACACTCCAATGGCAGTGCTAGCCACATGAATGTAGTGTAGAATCTTGTCACTCGCAGCACCATTGTCCTCAAGAAAAAGTTCGGCAATGTATTGAATAAATGTAATGATTTTCGATGTATCCGATGCTTTGCTCCAAGTTCCGGTAGGAAATACCTTTGTAGCGTCAGGAAATCCCAGCAAATTTCGGTTGAACGAACCAGTGTGAGTGTACACTTTGAACATTTTTCTCCAAAGCTTAAAGGACCGATTCAAGGTGTCCAGCTGCGCCTCCACACCATCCCCAAGAGGAGACTTGAATGTGACAGGAAGCATGTAGACTAAGCATGACCCAGCAAAATCTTGACCAAAGCCAGCTAAGTAGATGTGGAAGAGGTCAGGTAAGAAGAACCGCCCTGGTCTGTCCAGATACCGGTGGCAAAATGACACTATAGGAGGCTCATCATCCGTGTTCCAAGGTGGCTCGGTGAAGGTTTCCATGGCCTTTTTCCAGGCCGGCTCCTCAGTATGCAGTTCCTCAAACGGGTACTTAACATCACCTGCTGGACACAACCAGCAGCACAAACCTTTGGTTTGTTTGGTGTTTTTCTCATTGATCGGACCCTTCCTTGTAGTTGAATACCACCTCGTCATTTTGCCAGCCCGGGCCTGTAGCTTCAAATCTCCTTTCATCCCAAGACATACCAATCGCAACCGGCGACCATTGACAACTATTCCAGTATCGAAGCACTCCCTCAAATCAGCACCAAATTGAAGAAGCATTTCTTGAAAGCAATCCTCATTGTCTTTGTGCAGTTTTTGGGAGAGGGTACCCCAAAGGAAATGTGTAGCGTAGGAGTGGCCCAGCAAGTTCACCTGCATCTTGGATGATGGTTTTCGAAATCTTCTGATATCTGGATCTTTGCGATTTGCTCTACCAGTGCCGTTCCCCAAAGCTGAAGACCAATTGAACACCATATACTCGGACTTTTTAAAGCCCCGACCACCATCAGCATGGCAGTATATTGGGATACAATCAGACCACTGCACTTCTTTGGGGGTGTCCGCTGAGAAGAGCTCAAAGTCTGGGTGAATCTTCTGGAAATTGCCCCAAAATTCGGTAAGCTTGGCAGCGGATTTGTCCAAGGAGGTCCCACCCAGCAAGCGGTACAAGTTCCCAGTCTCGCTCATGTAATGCAGAAAGTCTATGGGCTTCAACCGTGGAATTCCCTCAGCAAAGAGATTGCCACTAATGATTGTGATCGGAATTGGCAACGATAACCCAAACTCAGCCATAATCGGATGAATATGTTCTTCCGCATGCTGATTGATTGTAGCTACCCGCTTCACAACACTGCAGTGTGCTACTGCACTTTGAGATCCCTGTGCGTCTGCCCAGGCCGACTTCGCATAGGAGACAACGCGTTCGCAAGGCACCTCAGGGGCCGGTGGAAAACAGTTTGTTTGCCGAAGGTGGCCTACCTATAGAAAGGGTGATCAACATATTCCAAATGTCCAAATGTATCCTACTGCACCAAGTTCAGCAGCAATGGCAACCACAATCTTGGTGGCGTCGGACCTTTCTTCATCTAGGCGCACGCGGATTTAAATACAATATAAGTGAAGAAGGGGCCATGTTCCATCCGCCTTCCTTCACCACCCGGCCTGATGTTTCTGCATCCGGGTTTGTTGAGATGGGGCTCAATTAGGACAGCTTCCATCAAAGCTGCTTCTTCCCAGGTAGATCCAGCATATAGTACATACATGCATTTGAATTTCTCATGGCTT